TGTGTGTGTGTGTGTGTGTGTGTGTGTGTGGCCAGCTCAGCCCACCTGGGGGCGGGACTGGCTGGCATGTGGTGCTGGGGGGTTGAACCATGGTCCCTGTGCTTTGCCAAGCTTGTTCCAAGTAGGTGCTTTAGACCACTGAGCCATCTCACCAGCCCTCCAGGGTATAAGTTAAACAAGTGTTTGGCCCAAAATAAATGCTTACTAAATGCTAGATGAATTACCAAATAGGAAGGAAGTAAAACCACAAACTTAATTTTAAAAGGTTATATGAAAAGAAAAAAAAAAGGTAGTAGAAAAAATCTTAGAGAGTATCACCACTTAAGCAAAAGAGAGGATAATGAGCCCATAGAGAAGCCCAAAGACTTATCAAAACTGTGGATAGATCTCAAAGTGTATACACAAAAGAGTCATGAGCTCTAATGAAACAGGCCTGTCACATGCATCCCAAGTGTCCACTAGGGTGAAGGTTAAAAATTTCTACTACACTTGACTAGGAAGCACTTGATGACCTAGACAAGGTCACTGGTCATCTCAAGAGATGAGGATGGAAAGTAGAACACCAGAAATGCAAGCATGAAGCAGAGGTGAAGGGAGAGCCAGGAATGAGCTCCCAAACCAAGCTGAAAAAGCTGGGAGATTGACTGGTCTCCTGCTCCCACTCCTGCTACCCTGAGGCTACATGTGGCTATTTGCCCCTCATCCTTCTTGTTACCTAACATTCTTTCATTTTAACGATGTGATTAGACTTTATGCACTGATTTTAATGATTACACTAGTGACAAAGCACACTGTGCCAAGCACTAGAAGCTGGAAAACGCACAGCTTCAGCAGCTGTCCTGGAGAGTCACTGATGGAGACCATCAGAATCCCAACTCAGGGCAGCAAAGATGCTAACATGAGAAGGCTGGAAAGGGAAGCAGCTACCTGTGCTACAGAAACCTGAGTTCAGTAATGAGAGATCCACAGGGAACCAACCAGCACCCAATCCCACCTGAACAATCTACATGGAGGACATAAGAGGAAATATATCCTCCTACAGAGAACAGATCTGCTCCAAATCCACAATTCTATAGACTTTAACTATTACTTTCATTAGCCAAGAAAAAGTTCTTATTAAAAGGACAGAAATTGGATGAAAATATATATGGTTTCATTCAAAATAATGCAATGACTGCTATTAGGCAACCAATGGTAGCCTCACAACCAAATACACATAAACACACATTGGTAACACCAAATCCAGGACTATAAGTTTTTGCGCAATTATTTGCATTACTATTTATGCTGGAGAGTAGCAAAATGTAATTATCTTCCCGGCTTTCTTTCAAAAGATAACACAAAACTTTCTATGGAGGTGTGAAAACTCAAGGCTGGGCTCAAGGGAATGAGTTGCCCACAGAAGGGCTACATCAATCACATTGCAAACTAAATGTTCAACATGGGGCCCTGCAACAGCCCTCTCCCCACATGCGATCCAGAAAGCCCAAAGCAATGCAAAGGTCTATTTACTGCATTTTAATAATGACCCACCAAAACTGGTTTAATTAAACCCAAAATTTTAAATGAAAATGATTATAATGTCTAAATTTTAATGCTATAGATAATACTGTAGGTAGCAAATTCCTCATCAATGACTAAAACTGTTTTATAATACATGTCTCATTTACTGCCAACTCCTATAGTTCTGCTTAAAATTCATTTAATTTTCACTTATGTCAAAAATGTTAGCTTAACCCTGCATTTTCTAAAAATCAAAAACATGAAATAAAGATTATCTAAACTTTGAAAATGCATCAAATCAATGAGACATTAGATATGAAAACAGTACAAAATATTTAATTTTAATTTTCCTTATGTCCATTATCATTTGTTCATAATTCAAACTCACCCCTTTGTACCCTTTACTATTTTTAAATTACATATGCATAATTACAGTATCTCAACACCTGCTTTTTACCACCAGCTTTTTATTTTTATTTTTTTTAAAGAATTTTATTTATTTATTTATTCATTGTGTGTGTGTGTGTGTGTGTGTGTGGCCAGCTCAGCCCACCAAGGGGCGGGGCTGGCTGGCATGTGGTGCTGGGGGATCGAACCGCAGTCCCTGTGCTTTGCCAAGCTTGTTCCAAGTAGGTGCTTTAGACCACTGAGCCATCTCTCCAGCCCTACCACCAGCTTTTTAAAGGAACCAAAAACCAAGTCAAATCTGGCAGTCAGGCTGGTGAGATGGCTCAGTGGTCTAAAGCACCTACTTAGAACATGCTAAGCTAAGCAAAGCACAGGGACCGCGGTTCAATCCCCCAGCACCACATGCCAGCCAGCCCCGCCCCCTGGTGGGCTGAGCTGGCCACACACACACAAAATAAATAAATAAAAATAAATAAATTAAAAAAAAAAAAGAAATGTAACTTTAAAAAAAAAATCTGACAGTCTTCTGGAAATCATGAAGAACAACTGGTCTTCATATTCACATAACCTGATACAATTATACAATGTAATCATCTATCATCCATAATGTAGTTCCAGAATGCAACCATCTTAACTTCTCACACAAAATTTATGCTGTATCAGAGACACCATCTACATTAAGAATGATCTTCAGGGCCAGGGAGATGGCTGAGTAGAATAAGTGCTTCCCTGGCAAGTGCAAGGGCCTGAGTTCAATCTTTGGTTCCAGAAAAAAAAAAAAAAGAAAAAAAAAAAGAATGATCTTCAAATACTTGACTAAGTACGTTATTCCAAGCATGTTTTTCTTTTCTAGATAGCACGCCACAACTTTTGCACTTTTCAAATCTGATCAAATAAGATAAGTGCTTTTAAGGCCACAATACACACTGCCAATTTCTAAAAGTTCTAAATAAATGTAAAATAAAATAAAAGGATCTTAGCCAGTCTGGTTTTAATTACTGTACTTCTAAAGCAATTTTATTACTTGATAAGACTTCCTTATAATTCCTCCATATTCAAATAACATATAGTTACACACACACACACACACACACACCTCTTTCTTTCCTGGGTCTCCTTTGAGTGCCACCTTCCAATAGCCTGAGGTTCCCC